ACAGTGACTATGGTGACTTGGCACTGATGCAGAGAGTTAGTAACAGTTCCAGGTCGTGAACTTTCTGGAACCCTCTCAGTTCACTAGATGGGTACACAGCCACTCGCCAATAATATTCTCCAAATGGAAACACTTAGCATAAGGCACATTGACAACCCACAGGGAGATGTGACACATATGACAAATTTGTTGGTACTAAACTAATTGAATAAAATTCCTTCACTTTTAGTGTGTTGCAGTCTCATTATTTCACTACGTGCAAAATAAAACAAAAGCTGTGAAGAGCCAAAGTAGGTGTCAGGGCTTGTGATGTAAGAGGTACCTTATGAAATGACTAGTGGTGGTGCACCGTAGTTAGTTATCTTCCTTCATGCTTTCACAGTCTAGATGGCCCTCTTTGGTCAATGAGCTTGACCAAGAATGGGTAGATGACCATTATGTGCTCCACTTGATGACCAAGATTCACAGCTGAGTTGTGCATCTTTTCTGCACTCTTGACCCACGATTTCTTCCTCCCTATTGTGTTCTGGCTGGTACATCTATGGTCTCAGGCAGAAAACACTGCTCAATTCTGCCACTGTTGTGTTGACATTTCCAATCGTCATCCTTTAAGTTCCCTGAAACCATGTCTGATGTGAAGTAAATATCACTTTTCATTTTCACCCTGCACCCTGAATGATGTCCAAGTTCATAACTATTTACCAGTCTTTGCCAATCAAAAATGGCCCTTTTTCCTCCCTGCCTTTCAATAAATTTCTAAAACCAGTTTTCAAGCAGGGAGGAACAGGGCTGATTAAAAACATTAAAAAGTTAGTGCCAAAATTAGCAAGCACAGCAATGTTTTTCCTTGAGTGAGTCAGATTCTGCTCTCATGCCCCCTAAGGTCGAAGCCTGGTGACACTCCCTGTCCAAGCTCATATGAACGACATCCACCTGAGCCTGAGGAGCTGGGAGGTGCCTGTGGAACTATGGGGAAATGATGAACTTTAAAATGTTTCCCTGTTGGTAAATCCACTGCTCATTGTGGTATTGAATCTGCAGACCAGGAAAGTCCCATGTCTCATATCTGGACTGTATTGAGTCATTCAAACAGCTTTCAGGGTACTACAATTGACTTCTACAACTGTGGGCCAGTAGGGTGTGGTGCCAGAAATCAATCCTGGTTCCTGCTGGGATATGTATCCAAGTGGGTACTGTGCAAGGAGAGATTGGTCTTGGCACTAATGCCAAGTCAAATAACCTGATGATACTTTGTCTAGAATAATGGATAAAGGCTTTGTTGAGATCTGGGCCCCCATACCACAAGTTTCAGTTTGAGAGAATGACTAAACAGAATTGTGAATTTGTAGTTAAATATGTTTGAATAATCTTTGTGTGGTAGCTCAGCTGTACATCTTTTCTGTTTTTTTTAAACTGTGTACTGAATATTTGCAGGATGAAGAAACAAGGGGATTCATTTTCTTTACCCTGGAACTCTGAGTATGCATGGCTCTTGAGGCTTCTTCCTTGGATTTTTTTCCAAAGTTCGGATTTTTTTGAACTAGCAATGTCAGGCTGGCTGGTGTACTGTCATTTTAATCCCACGAATTTCCAGTTCTGGGTTGTACCTTTTAAAACTTGCACACCTGGGTGTGAGTGTGACTGGTTTCCATATTAAGTTCCATTTCATCGTGACTAGCTGAAGTGCTTCCAACTGAGGAATTGTGACATTGGGTGGGCTTGTTATAAAATATAACCAGCTTAACAAAAAGTAATCACTAGAAATTTGATTGGTGTATGAAATCTGATGATGGATTATAATTATAACATATTACAGTAATGCACCCAGTGTATTATCCAATTAACATTGAGATCGAGTAGAATACAATCCTCATTTGGACAGGAATATCTGTTCAGGAACTTGGCTTTAAAATAAAATCCTTCAGGAGTAGAAGTTTGAATATTTTATATTTCTAGACTGATGCGTGCATTAGACTTGTAGAGGTTTGACCTGCCAGTTCAGGCCTGGACTCAATCTTGGGCAGTTGCCTTTTCCCAGCTTAGCTTATTTGGCAGCAACGGCCTTAAATCAGTGTTTCACATTATTCTGGCACAGCGATGAGATGCTGTATTGTCTGAGGAACCATCCCTTGGATTAAATCTTAAAAAAGACATTGTCTACCTGTTTATGTGAATGTCAAACACGTAAAAATAAGTAATTTTTCTTATGTCCTGGCCAGGAGTTCTTCTTCAGTTGAAAGCAGCCTAACTGGTCTTTTATTTCATTGATGTTTATGAGGTCTTGTTATGCGTAAATTGGCTGCTTCATTTGCTATTAAAATGGCATTTTGGAAGTGCAGTGGGTGGTTTGAGGTGTGATAAAGTGCTGTATAAATGCAAGCCCTAACTTCCTTATGTATTAAAATTTCTGTCCCTTTTTTCCACTTATAGAGTCATAGAGTTATATAGCACAGAACAGATACTTCCGTTCAACTTGTCCATGCCGACCAGATAGCCTAAACTGACTCAGTCCCATTTGCCAGTGTTTCGCCCATATCCCTCTAAACCTTTCCTATTCATATACCCATCCAGATACCTTTTAAATGTTGTAATTATACCAGCCTCCACCACTTCCTCTGGCAGCTCATTCCATATACACACCACCCTCTGCATGAAAATGTTGCCCCTTAGATCTCTTTTAAATCTTCCCACTCTCACCTTAAACCTATGCCGTCGAGTTTTGGACTCCCCTACCCTGGGAACAAGACCTTGGCTATTCACCTTATCTGTGCCCCTCATGACTTTATAAACTACTATAAGGTCATCCCTCAGCCTCCGACGCTTCAGGGAAAATAGCCCCAGCCTATTCAGCCTCGCCCTGTAGCTCAAACCCTCCAAACTCGACAACATCCTTGTAAATCTTTGCTGAACCCTTTCAAGTTTCACAACATCTTTCCTTCAGAAGGGAGAGCAGAATTGAACTTGACAAGTATTAATGAGCAGTAAGAAATGTACATGCTTTTGGGTGGCATGGTCGCTTGGCAGTGAGCACTGCTGCCTCCCAGCACCAGGTTCCCAGGTTCGATTCCAGCCTTGGTGGACTCTCTGTGTGGAGTTGCACATTCTCCCTGTGTCTGCCTGGGCTTCTTCCCACAGTCCAAAGATGTACAGGCTAGGTGGATTAGCTATGGTGAATGCAGGGTTACTGGGATAGGGTGGGGTCTGGGTCTGGATCTGGATCTGGATCTAGGTGGGACTCTCTTTGGAGGATCAGTGCAGACTTGGCCTCTTTCCACACTGTAGGGATTCTATGATTCTATGAAATAGAATTAGAATAGTTTCAGTGGGGATGCAAGTACTGGTAGACGCAAGACGAACTTTGTTCTATCCTGAAATTTATGATTCTGTATGTGGTGTAATATTAGAATGAAAACTTGTTGGGTTTCTACATTCATATATACCAGAAAAAAAGTGTCTTAATTTCCCTTTGTGGCTCAGCTAGCTTAGTGAGCTATTGGTATATGTCGATGGGAAGATTGCACCTTTTACCTTCAGTCCTTTGCTCCCCCAGAAGTTGGTTAACAGTTCATGTGCGAAATTTGACCTCCCCTACCTCCTGGCTGAGAAGTGTAGGAGAAACAAATTCTTCCTGATCATTGGGCAGTGGCTTTTGCTGAAATGTGTGAATAAGTGAATATTAGACAAATACACAACTGCGTTTGGCTTTGATAAACCCCTCCCTGCTTTTCAGTTGATTGGTCTTCTCAGATTCAATCATCCTTTAGACTCTTATGTAGGTAAGGCATTACTGATGTGAGTTGGCATCTTTAGGGGAGAAAACTGGGAGAGGAATAAATCTAATCCACATTGAGGGAAACAATACTGTTATAGTAAAATTTAAGTTGTTGTCATCTTCATTGTCTGTTGGATATGACCTAGTGTGACTCACTCTCCAATTGACCTATGTGGGTATGCACCTAATACCTGTTTGGCATACTTCCCCACACAATAAATGCTAACTGATGAAGATAAGAGATTCGAGGGATCAATTGCAAGCATGGTACAGTATTTTGATCATCAATGTGTTCCTGTTCTACCAGGTACTTGAATACTGTTTTCAATAAGGAAAATACATACCTTGAATGTTCGTTAACTCATGTAAATACTTTTGGGCTTCCTGCTGTGATAGTCAGTGATGGAAGGTGGAATTCTGTGATCATAGCTGTACGTATTCCAAAAAATAGCAGAAATTGAATTTTGTAATCAAAACCTTGACTGACCACTAAACTATAAGTTCACACTGAGCACTCGTATTTCTTCCCGTTGCCCTCCCCTCCCTGTCCCCCCATTTTATGACTGTGACATTTGTGGTGATGTTAACTGTTTCAATGGCCTATTTTGCAGAGAGAATAGAGTGGGACAATTCCTTAATCTTTTTACTAAGAATCATCATGCAACTAACTCAGTCCACCTGATGGTAAAATATTTCTCTATTACTTATCTGAGATATAATGGTACCACTGGAGGCTGGAGGAGATGAGAGATAGGGAAGGGCCAAGCTGTGGCACAATTTGACAAAAGGCTTAATTTTAAAATCAAGGCTTGCGTAACCAGGAGCTACAGTAGACCAGCAAGCAGGAATTAATGGGTGACTGGAACTTGGTGTGAGTTGGCACACAGAATAGAGAGTTTTAAATGGCCTCAAATTTAAGGAGGGTGAAAAATCAGAAACCATCCAGGAGTACATCAGGGTGGTCCCATCTAGAGGTAACAAAAGTGCAGGTAAGGGTTCTGAGGTAGGGGTGGAGTGACAATGCGGATATGTGCTTGTTAAACTCGGAAAACAATTGCAGGTCATGAGTTTCAAAGTGACATCTCAATTACAGACCAATTGCTTTTTCTGTGTTTGGGTACTGAAAGTTTTGAAATAACTCCTCTGTCTGAGATAGACTGGCCCCAGTTTTTTGTTTTGGAATACAATGCCAATAATAACGAGTGTATTTATTTCTGTTAAATTTCAGCGCTGTAAGGATAAAGTGAATTCACTTGCAATCTCTGTGATGAACCAGTGGCCAGGAGTGAAGCTCCGAGTAACAGAGGGCTGGGATGAAGATGGACATCATTCAAAGGAGTCCTTGCATTATGAGGGCCGAGCAGTAGACATCACTACCTCTGATAGGGATCGCACCAAGTATGGCATGCTGGCCCGTTTGGCTGTTGAAGCTGGATTTGACTGGGTTTATTATGAGTCAAAAGCTCACATTCATTGTTCAGTGAAATCAGGTAAGAGTCAGAGCTTCATCTGGGCTTCAAAAGGATTAAGATGTGGAATACTTCAGAGTGTTTTTTTTAAAATACAGGTTTGCAGAATCAAATCCACATTAAGAGCCAAAAAAACTTGTTGAAGAACAATTAAGCCATTGAGCACCTCACTGCTTAGTGGTTATATTCATGGTAAAATAGCCAGACAAGGTGTCCAGTTTGGACATGGAGAACGGGTAAGGTATCAGAGGCTGCTGGTCTGGCACAGGAGAAGAAAATAGGCAAACTTGAGCCTGCTGTATAGGCGTCCTACTGCAGTACATTGCTACGTCCGGGTGTCAACCTCTAGAATGAAGTAACATGGATTTGCTCCCAAAATTCCTCACATGGCGTTTTTCCATTCTGAACAGATGGTGGAGGAAACCGTTGTGTCCTCCCATTGTGAAGGAGGCAAGAAAGGTAAATGATTCACCCTGAACTACTATGAAAAGATCCTGGGCACATATTAACTTTGCCCTACTCCAGTGGGGGAATTGTGTGATTCAAGACCTGAAAAAGAAATGAACTAACGTGGATCAAGGAAAATCTTTTCCTTCTTTTGGCAATCTAGCTGTAGTTAATGAAATTTCAGTTGTGTTCTGAATTAATCAAGAATATATAAATGCTTCTGTTAGATGCAATCAGCAATCTTCTTTTGTGGAGCATCATGTTAGACATGGCACGACTGTGAACAGTCTCACTTTGGGAAGTGTAGGTATGGCTTCAAGTTCCACTCCCAGAAATGTGAGCATATAATCGAGGCTGGTACCTTAGCACTGAGAGACAGCTGTACTCTCAGAGGTGCCATCTTATGGACAAGATGTTAAACTAAGTCCCAATCTGTCATTGGTTGGACCTAAAAGATCCCCTCGCAATATCAGGAAGAATGGCAGGTGAGTTCTTTCCCAATGTCAATATTTATCCCTAAACTAACATCAGTAAAGTTGATTTTCTGATCATGTATTTCATTGTTGTTTGTGGGATGTGCTGTGCGCAAATTGGCTGCTGCACTTTCTACATTACAATACGTATGACGCTTTGAAACTACTACATTGGCTGTGAAGCACTTTAGAATGTTCTAAAGACATGAAAGATCCTATTAAATGTATGCTGTTTTTTTCATTTCTTTTAAATGGACAGCTTTGTTCAGGATGGCTGGAATGAGGGGAAAAATGCACATAACAGGGGAAATGATCACTTTAGTTGATCTTGTGCCTAGTATGTAGAGTAACTGGCATTTCATCGAACTTTTTTGATGTCCCCAAAATTTTCAACCAACAACTATGTGTCCTGGTTGCTGAGATAATTAAAAATGAAAACCTAATTTTATTTTTCCCTTTCTTATGAGCCAAAAATCAGCTTGCTTGGAGACCATTTTTTTTCTTTTTTTTTGTTGCCTCAATCTTTTTGTATTTCATTGACAGGCATTCTGTATATTTTAGAAAGCAATGAATCAAAGCGTACTCCCCTAAAATATTTTGTTTGTATTTTATCCTTGTTGCAGCAAGGTACAATCACAGTATCAAAATATTCAGAGATTAACTTCGCCATGTTTACAAATGCACTTTTATGAGGCATGTTTGCTCTGAGAATCTTGATATCTCGTTATTGAATGATATGTGTTGCTGGCAAGTTTAACTGACTGGCATCTGAGGTGATGATACCAATCTATCCTTGATGTAAAGTTTGCTTTGACATGGAAATGAGTGTTGCTTATTTTTAACCCTTTGAAGACACCACTGGTATTTCTTCAGAATAAAAACTTTTGTTAGTCAGAGCCATCCCACTGAGATACTGAGTTTATCTGATTAGTAGCCTAGCCATTCAGCCCAGAAGTGTCCCAGTTCAATTTCTTTTAAAAGTCATTTGGAGCAGTGATGGAACATTACAATTTGTTTCAGGGCCCTGGATTAGTTATTTTCTAATAAACCTGCTCAGAGTTCCTACTACACACTTACAAAGCAGGTGGGACTTGAACCTGGGCCTCCTGACTCAGAGGTAGGAACACTACCACAACAGCCCTAAATGTAGTCCCAGTTGACTCTCTCATTACAGACAGAGACAACTGGTGGTGGGTGGGGAGGTGGGAGCATCATGCCTCAGGCAAGGGTGAGGTTGAGAAGGCAGGACCTTCATAATCTTCAGAACATCAACTGAACCCATGCCATTGGCGCCACTCTGCATTGCAAAACAGCTGTCCAACCAACTGAGCTAACCAACCCCAAAAATAACCCAGCACCCCCAGGAATGCCGTTTAAAGCCGGACTCTGGTGGGTCTTGAGCTCACAACCTTTGAATGCCTTCAACATCCTCTGACTAGAAGTTCAACACACTATCTGCTACACCACAGCGCCACTTAAAAAAAAAATCATGGTTTAATATGTGGATATTTTTAATTAACCTATACAAGTATGTGATGACACACACCTCTGGAGCAGGTGGGCCTTCTGGATCAAAGGTAGGAACACTACCATTGCAATGGCTGGGAATCAAACCCAGGTCAGCTGCTTAGAAGGCAGTGATGCTCACTGCTGCACTGGATTAGGAAGGGGAGTGGAAGAAAAATAAGAGGAACCAGGGCTTCTATTCTTACGCATTGTCTTGTACTCTCTGCTGAAAAAAAAACATATGTATGTGTCTGTGAATGTTGAAAGTCCAGAAAAGATTCCACTTTGAGTTTCCAGCTGACACTTGCTAGGTCAAGATCACATTAAGAATAATCAAATGGGTGAGGTGCTCGATGGCAGCCAGGATCCATTGAAATATTACAACAATCTGCAACATCACCTTCGTAAGAAAGGGGGGAGCTAGCAAGAAATTTCAGTATAGCTCTGAGGAGTATTGGGCCTTTGAGTTCAAAATTATTGGCTGCTTTTGGAGATCAGTATATAAGAAACAGTAGAATATGAAGGAAAGTCAGCAGTGAATTTCCACTGAGAGTAAGTTGTGAACGAGCCCATGAAGGAAAGACATAGATATAGACAGCTTCATGAGTTTGGTAGATTTGAATGTGTTTTTATAGACAGAAAGATTTTGAGATATGGATGGGGAATTGGATACAGTTAAAGAAAAGAATTCCATTTCATTCATATCAAATACGAGGATCTCTCACTTCCACATCAGTATGGAGTCAGCATCTACAGTTAAAGGTGCTATCTGAATGAAAGTTGTTGATGTCAAGAGCAGAGGGATTTTTGAGTTCAGGTTCAGATCTACATGGCATTAAATGGACAAGACACACACCAAGTGCAAAAGGCCATTCATGAAAGCAAACAGAATACTGGGTTTTATGTAAAGAAGTGTTGAGTAAAAAAGTCAAGACATAATAGTGAGTCTTTATAAAACCTTTGTAAAGGAGCCAGCACAGCATTACTTTTGAGCTTCACGCTAGCAGAAAGCTACTGAGAGGGGACAGTGCAGATTCCCTAGGGTGGAAGAACCAACAGAATACAAGATGCAATCAGATGAATGTCGTCTCTTTGTGCAGGCTGTAAGGGGTTGGGCATTCCGAGTGTGTAGTGGTTAAGCACATAATTATCAATAATTCAACACTGGCATTGAATTACATTATCTAGATAACAATAAGCCGAAACAAAACAACCTGATACCCGATGTCAAGGCTACTGAATGTTGTTGGGCTTCACTAACAAGTGGGTAGGATTTTCAGAGATTCTCACAGGCTCCTACTTTAACTTCACCAAAATCAGGAAAAATTAAATGGTCATTTTCATTTTTAACAATTTTCCCAGAAATTCTGCCAGTATTCCACTGAAGATAAGGAGTGGGGTTGTGTGTGTGAGGTGTAGGGATTGAGAAAGTTTCCTGATCTTTACCTGACCTGAATGTTTAATTCTAACACTAGTACCCAGAACAAAAAAACTGTTCTGATCTGTGCTAATATCTCCCTTTGCTTCTATTAACTTCAAAGTAAAGTACATTAAAACTCAGCAGTCTGGAAGAGTAGAAGCCAGGATCTCATTCGCCTACAGAGATCTAAAAGTCATGCACTTCCCTCAGTCCATTGCAATGCATCACCTCACAACAGGCATCACAGTGGTTACATTGACACCTGTTTGAGCAGCTACTTGCCAAGATAATGTCAACACAGATAAACTCAAGAGCAGTAGAAAATAACACCAGCAAAGAAAGCCTTACTCTCAACAAAATAGTTGCTGGAAATCTCTACCTGTAGCTGTCACAGTATTTTTCAAAGCTATTTTCTCTGTTCAACAATCTGGCTGAATTCTGTCCTTAGCTGGGATGGCAGATTAAAATGTCTGCTGCCAAACCATTGACAATGTTGTCGGCAGAGGAGAAAGAGCATACACAGGTAAGAATTCTGTTTTCTTTGTTCTTTTCCCCCCTTCTGCCCCATCCTAAAATGAGTGAGGCAACTGCATTTTGCTCAGCTCCATTTGAATAAAAATTCAATTTTTCACATAACTCTGATTATTGTGTTGATATGATAGACCAGGGGGTGGATTAAACAGAATAAAACACTTCCTACAGTGACAGGGAATGGTGGAAAGTGAATGTGACTTGTGGTTGTGTACATGGTTGACAGAAAATCTGAGGAATCAGACCGGGTTGTCTTTCTGCTAAAGAATTAGCATAGAGGGAACTGGGGAGAGAGAAAGAGAGAAAAAAAATATAGAAAATATCTCAATTAAAAATAACACTGAGGGAAAACAAATTTTAAAAAAGTATTTTTGTAGATCTAACACGATGGAAGTTCTCAACAAGAACTGTGTACTCTTAAGGTCTAAATTCTTAAATTAGCAATTTGTGCAATGTGTGGGAAGTTTAAGATGGCCCTCTTGTTCCCACAGCTAATGCTTCCCTTATTGAAATAAGAACCTCCCAGATATTTGTTGATGGGAGAAGGAGAGTATTTGCTCACTAATTCAGGAAAATGTACAAGGAGGAACATTTGTAACTTTCCCTTCTGTATAGCAAGACAATTCCTGGATGCTTTCTTTGGCAGATCTGTTACTGTTTTCATTAAGCATATGCAAGCATTAAAAGCACTGAATTCTGGGGTTCAACCCAGTTAAGCAGCTAATTTAAAACTTGTTTTAGGCAAATACAAGGTGTTTCAAAATCAGTGGAGCTGCATCTGGACAGACTGCAAATGATCAGAGACTTTAAAAAGCATTTGAATAATGTGTTGGTTTGAATCCAGCTGATAAGGCAGCTGATGTTGGAGACTGCATACGGCCCACCCAGGACTGAAGGTTGGAGCTATTGTGTGTCCCTTATTACGTTATGAAGAATAGGAAGTACTGTGACTGAGAGGGCAGTGGACAACCTTTTTCCATCCATATGCTAATACTACTTTAACTTCCTGGCCTGTAGGAAGCACATGAGAATTCTGTTGACCCTCCCTCCCTCTTTTGGGAACCACTTTAATTTTGTTCTGTCCCTGCTAACAGTGTAGCTAAGGCAAGTACTTTTTGGCAGGCATCAGCTTTCAAGTTACCATTCCACAGCATAACGTATGGGACACTACCATTGAGAGATACTTCCCTGGACACTTTCTCCCCCTCCCCATTGAAGGTTGAGTCTCAAGATGAGCTATGCCTAGATGAAATCAAAATTCTCTAGTATCAAACCCAAATGGCCATTTCTTCATGCGGATCAGGGTTAGTAAGTATTCAGAGGTTATTCAGTGAGTGTAGTCCAAATATAAATGCCAGCTAACTTAACACATTGCAAGTTAAACCTGTGACCTTCTGGTTTGTGTGAGTTGGTTTTCCAATGAGTGGTGCTTCTTCCATTAAACCATCACTTGGGTTTTGCTTCTGGATCAACTGGATATCTGGCGTAACTGCCAGATTTCAAGTTTGAGCCTCCAAAGTAAACAATATAAAGATTTGCACCTGCTCGTTTTCATCACAGTTTGCATACCTCCTCTCCATGGAGATGCTGTTCACTTGTATAACACCACAGCCTACATACTGGCTGGCAAAGTCAAGGGTTGGGAGGGAGAACACTAAGCAATTGCTCGAGTTGACTAGCTGTAGGTTTGCAGCTCTCCATTACCAAGTTCTGATAGGTTCCTCTTGCTTGTCCAGGAGGGACCATGCTACCAACTAGGGCATTCACATATTGGATTATCCAAGGTCAACTCTAAAGATACCCAAGTCTTTATTCCTGGGTCTTGAGCTCTCTAGATTCCATCAGTGAGCTTGGTTAGCAGGCCCATTATCAATAGCACCCTAGATTTGCCTGATTCCGTTTTCAGATGACTAAGTCTGTCACAGAGGGTTAACGTTACATTTATCACTGGACATTCAGAATCATCATTTTGAAGCCAAGTTACATCACTCCCCACACCACCCTCCCAAACCCCTTGAGACCCTGCACACTACTCCCTTGCCTCCCAAAGGAGGATAGTTAGTAGTTACTTTTTACCCAGCTAAGCAATGTGGACAGCAGATACTAGAAATATCCCCAATTTAGCTTGTGAGCAGCACAGTTAATCATAAACTGTGGGAGTACATTCCCATCATCCTCTCCTGACCTAGACACAGACACAGTCCACCTGACCCTACCAGCACAGAGAATCTGGAACCAAATTATGGTTAGCACCAAGCACTAGATGTATGAGCATGTGGTTTCCTACCTGACCTCCCAGGTAGCACCACCGAGTAGCTGTCTTCTCAAGATGTCAATATTTTAGGACTACTCGAACTGTTTACTTTACACCAGTTAACTTGATGTTCTAGTGTGACACCACAGGCTTATTCCTCATCAACTGAGAAGATTCTGAGCCAGGTACAGCAGTAGAAGTGTACCTAAATGATGCCAATTGATGCCATCACAAAGGCAATTCTTTCTTCACCCAAAATCTGCACACACTTGTTACCCAACAACACCTTGCTGGAATCTAATAAGGAACACTGGCTTTGGTTGTTTAAACCCCCTCAGTTGTCATCAGACCAAATACAGAGATACAGAAACCAGCTGTCAGCAAGACCTTCACACCACAAAATGAGGTCATTTAGCCCTTTGAGGCGACTGTCGGTCAGTCTCATTTTTCTGTTCTATCCTTGCAAGTCTATTTCCTTCATGTCTGTCCAATGTCTTTTGAAATCATTGATCTTTTCTGCTTCGACCATCCTTGCTGTCAGTGATTTCCTGTATCTTCCAGTTGTCATCAAGGTCTTTGGCATATTTCAGGGACAATAAATAGGAAAACCTCCTGATCTGTTTGGGTCACTTAACCCTTTTGAAGAAGAGGGTTAAAGCCAAATATTTGCTGAACCACCTTTAAGAGGAAACGTAGTTACCATGGTAAGACTGTCACTCCTGAATGTTACTGATAATTCACTTTTAAATTGTTAGTGATCGAGAATGTGATTAAAGTGGAATGCTGCTTCCAAAACAAGCCAGGTGTTTCTGTACAGATTCAGTCAGAGGGAATTGTAGGCAGTCAAAATTGCAACTCACTTGCATATCTGATGCACTTAGATCTTGATAAATGGATAACTAATTTGCCAAGAATGTTTATTTTGGGGGCAGCTTTTTAGTGCAATACTTATAAAGAGTCATTTGTAATACTTCTAACTTGACCTAAAGTTGGGACGACATGTTGTGGCTGTACAGGACTTTGGTGAGACCACCTTTAGAATACTGTTTACAGTTCTGCTCTCCCTGCTTTAGGAAAGATATTGTTAAATTTAAAAGGGTTCACAAAAGATTTACAAGGATGTTGCTGGGACTGGAGGGTTTGAGCTACAAGGAAGCCTGAATAGGCTGGGTCTTCTTTTCCTGGAACATCAGAGGCTGAGGGGTGACCTTATAGAGGTTTGTAGAATCAAGAGGGGCATGGAAAGGGTGAATAGCCAAGGTCTTTTCCCCAGGGTAGAGGAGTCCAAAAC